CCGCGGCTGCATTCCATTTCGCTCTGGTATGACGATGTACCTGATGGTGTGGCCGTCTCTGTTGCCATCGGCGACGTCAGGCCTGATGGCGTAGCCGTTGTTGTGCTTCCTGAAGGCTGCGTCCAGCGCCGCTGTCCGCCTGCGGCGGGCCGCTCTCCTGGCCGCGGTGGGCCCGATGTCTATGATCTACCTGGCCCGGAGAGCGACGGCGGACCTTTGAGGGGCGGGCTTGCCTCGGCGAGACGTAAGAGTGACCTTTCGCCGGAGTGACCTTTGGTGCAGGCCCACTGGGGCCCCCGATCGCTGATCTCGAGGCGGCAGTGGCGTCTTGCGCGCTTGTGTTTGGCCACCCCGCGGCCCCCCAAAGCCGCGCACCAAAGGCCACTCTTGCCCAGGGTCACTCTTGCGTGTAGCCGACTGCCGCCGATGCATGTTTGGGCAGTCTCGCAGTCGGGCAACCCCCGGTAGCATTTCGGGCCGGGCGAAAGGGGTGGATAGGGTTACGAAATCTGCTGCATGCGGCCCCACCGAGGGGCCCATTCCTCGATACATGGGCGCCTCCCAGCGCCGGGAGGCGCCGGGAAAATCAGCTGCGTGAGCTGATTCTCAACCCCCCCCTTTGCTATCCCCCCCTTTCGCCCGGCCCGAGCATTGCATACGTCGATGTCGAGGAGCGTAACGGGCTCCTCGGGCGGCCGTCGCCGGGTGCCGTGTTTGGGGAGGAGAGGGAGGAGGGGAGGAGGTCTCCTGAAAGTGTCCTCCTGCCCGTTTGAAAATGCTCCCTTTGGAGAATGTCACACGCCTCGAAGACCCCAAAGAGGTCGCCAGACTACCGGCCTATCTGGGCGCGCTATTCTTGTTTGTTGTTCCACAGGAAGCCTCAACTACAGCACCTCCGGGGCGCTCCTGGAACCCCAAGCGATGTACGGCAGAAAGGTTGAGCATCCGGCGGTCGTGTTGGATGAGCTGCTGCTGCCGCCGCCGCCGCATCGTCGTCCTCGTCGTCCTCCTCGTCGTCGTCGGCGTCTTCGTCGTCGTCGTCGTCCTCGTCCTCGTCCTCGTCATTGTCGTCGTCGTCGTCGTCCTCCTCCTCCTCCTCCTCCTCGTCGTCGTCGTCGTCATCGCTGCTCTTTCCTCCCTTCCCCCTTTTGGCTCAGGTGTCGGGGGGCACTTCGGCGCGCTGCGCGTTGGGGGCGCGCGTGTCGACAGGCCTCCCATGCGATGTCGTCATTTCACCACTTCAGGCCACTGGTAGCAGGAACAGATGTGGCGCCAGACAGCCACGCGTCACTGCCTGCATTCCGCCACGGGGATTTCCTGAAAGCTCTCACGATCAAACTGGTGGAGACATACAGCACTTGCAGCAGCGATTTCACGTTCAAGCGCGATTCTGTACCAAGGAGAGTGCTCACGAAGCCCTACGAGGCAGCTCACAATAATGGCTTCGATAACAGCGAATTCGATTACATATGTCGAGTCCGCGACACCATAGAATCAGAGTCTGGGAGTTCTTATGAGATACTGGATTGGCTCGGGCGAGGCACATTTGGGCAAGTACTGAAGTGCCAGGTGAGCAAGCGAAGCGACCTCGTAGCGCTGAAGGTGATCAAGAACAAGCCCGCCTACACCGAACAGGCGCGGGTGGAGGTAAATGTTCTGCAGAGGCTGAACGAAATGTTCGCGAAGACGGAGGAGGACCGCCTCGTCCGCATGATCGAGCATTTTACTTTCCGCAGGCACCTGTGCATCGCCTTCGAGCTGCTGCACGAGAACCTCTACCAGGTGCTGCAGCGCCGCGGCTACCGCGGCCTGAGCCTCGCGAACACCAGGCTGGTGACGGGACAGCTCCTCGAGGCGCTGGCGCGCCTGCGGGACGCATCGATCATCCACTGCGACCTGAAGCCGGAGAACGTGATGCTCGGCTGCCTGAACCCGATCAGGCAGACCACACAGTGCCGTTTTTAATACATGCTCCGCGTGCGGATCATGTATTAAAGATGCAGGGATCTAGTACTAAAAACAACGATGAGTTCATGCATAAGTTTAGTCATACATTAGCCATGCATTAAAAATTCTATATGTGTCTAAAAATCCGATGTATCAAAGACTGCCCTGTACGTAAGAGTGACCCTTCGCCAGAGCGACTTCCGACGCGGGCCCATAGGGGGGACGGAGGGGGCTATGGGTGCGTGCTGTTGGATGGGGGTCCCCGCTCGAACGGGAGCTTCCCCCAGGGTCCGACGACTCGCACCCATACGCACAGCCGGTCCTCCTGCTTCCGACCCTCCTGTGGGTGTGGGTGTGAGTTGCTCGCTCGTCAAGAGTCGAAACAGCGATGAGTTCATGCCCACATTTGTTCATACACTACTCGTGTATTAAAGTGCTATATAGTCTTTAAGAATCCAATGTATCAAAAACTGCCCTGTACGTAAGAGTGACCCGTCGCCAGAGCGACCTCTGACGCGGGCCCGCCCGGCGCGTGGCCCCGCTCGCCGAGGGAAGGTGTGCGGCAGCAGCGGCCTCGCGCGCTTCCGGGCCTGCGCGAACCCCGTGCCCGCCTGCGGCCGCAGCAGCACGGGTCGCTCCTGCCCAGGGGATCTTCGACGAAAAATGCAACATACCCCCACACAGATTCCAAACTTTGTCCAAAGATAGTCTGGGGACTATTTTGTTGCATCTTTGTTTGACCTTTTTGGGGCATTTTCGGTGTATTTTTTATCTTTCGTCGAACATCCCCCGGTGGGGGGACACGCCCGACATACGCCTAGGGTCACTCTTGCGTGCGACCGACAAGGATCAAGCTCATCGACTTCGGGTCCGCGTGCCGCGAGGACCAGCCCCTGCACTCCTACATCCAGTCGCGCTTCTACCGCGCGCCAGAGGTCCTCATAGGGATGTCCTACACCCGCGCGATCGACATCTGGAGCCTCGGCTGCATCTGCGCGGAAGTCTTTCGGGGCCTGCCTCTATGCGAGGGGCTTGCGCCATTCCTCCTGCCCCCCAGCGGAGGACGGAGGAGGGAGGGAGGAGGAGGGAGGAGGGAGGTGGAGGCTCTGCCTGATCGCGTAGCGATTTGA